AGCCAAGATACACTGAATGATCGTCCTGTGAGGTACGATTCAAACCAGGCATGTGCTTACTCTGTGATGCCCATGCTAGAGAGTGTGGACAAAAGGAAGCCATGGTTGACAGTGTCAAATGCAGCCGATAAGTCGAGCAGGATAAACACTGAGGATTTGCCTGTCCCTCTAGCTTCTTTTAAGGATTCAGTCACTGCTAACAGAGCGGTTTCAGTGGAGTGGCCCTGTTTGAACCCAGACTGGTAAGGGTCAAGCAGACAGTTTTGTGAGAGGTATTCTGTGATCTGCTTGAAAGCCACCCTTTCAATGATTTTGGACAGAAAAGGGAGGAGAGAGATAGGTCGGTAGTTCTCCACGTGATTTGGAGGAAGAGATGGTTTTTTTTAGCAGAGGTTTAACCTGAGCATGCTTGAGAGAGGTGGGAAATGTACCGGATGTCAGTGAAGCGTTGATCACGTATGACTGCTGCGGCTACTGTAGGAGCAATAGCTTAGATTAGCTTAGTCAGAATGGGGTCAAGTGGGCATGTAGTAGGGCGGCTGCACGTGAGAAGCTTGGACACACAGTTCTCAGTGAGGGGAAAAAGAGGAAAATGAAGCAGTAGGGCCTGAGATGGTTGGGCTAGAAGGAGTTTGTGGTTGCGAATGTTCAGGAGTGTCCAGTTGAGTAAACTGTTTGCTTATAGCTGCCACTTTGTCAGTGAAAAATGAGGCAAAGGTGTCAGCTGATAGATTGTTGGTAGGAGGTGGAGATGGAGGGTTGAGCAGAGTTTTGAATGTTGAAAATAGTTTCTGAGAGTCAGTAGAGCTGAGAATTTTGTCAGTGTAGAAAGCTTTCTTTGCATCAGTGATGCTGGCAGAGAATGAGGACAGTAATTCCTGAAATTTCAATTGATGACCAGGATCTTTTGTTTTGCGCCATTTCCGTTCCGCAGCTCTAAGATTGGTGCGTAGAGACCGGAGGGTATCATTTAGCCAAGAGTGCGACTGAGAGGATCTAGCAGGTCTAGTGGCTAAAGGGCACAAGTTGTTAAGACAAGAGCAGAGTGTGGAGCAGAGTGACTAGGTGGCTTCATTCATTTCATAAGCAGAGAATGTGCTGGGAGATGGAAGAGTGGAGGCAACAAGAGAGGAGAAGTAGTTGGGTGCCAGATTGTGGAGGTTGCGGCGGAATGAGACCATTGGGGAGGAAGCAGTGGACCTCCCTTGTAGAGTCGTGCTGAAATGGATGAAGTAATGATCCGAAAGATGCAGTGGTTTGACAGAGATTGTGTCTATGGCATTGATGGGTCTGATTTAATAACTTATTAAAACTTTGCTTTAGAAAAAATATTCATTATACAATTATCATTTAATTGAATAACTAGAAAATAATCTCAAATGTCTGGTAACCTGTTAGAGGTGCGCAGAAGAGCATCCAGCTGCAACACTGAGAAATAAAGTTAAAATAAAACCCTGACTTATTTTCAGATGGAAACACTATTTTATGAAAACACAACTTGTGATTGACCTCACTTGTAATTTCCCAAACACGAAAACTCATCAGTGAACATTTACTAAAGAAGTACATCCTCGTTTTCTCCTACACTTTCCATTTTCCTTCTCTACAGATCTTTTTCTTTCACATTTGTCCAGATGATTCCTCATGATCGTTCATGTAAATGAAAATAAAGATAACTGTTGTCAGGTTGAATTGCACCGTGGATCTGGTGGGAGAGTCTGCACCCCTGGCTTTATTCAGGATTTATGTTTTCTTGTTTATTCATTTTTCTTATTTTTATTCTCCTTTTTTTTCTCCTGTAATAAGTGTCATCGCTGCTGTGACATCTAGCTTTCCCCACTGAGGAACAATAAAGGGATTTTCTATTCTATTCATCTATCTGCAGCCTTTCCACTTCCTGTTTACTGTAGGTTAAATCTTTTCTCACGGAACAACAACAAAATAAAAATATCATTTTATCTTAAATGAAAATGCAACATCTCACCTGTTAACTTTCATGTTTTGGAGCAGAAAAAGAGCATAAATCCAACATATTTAAAGCTCAGTTTGCTCCACTGGTTTACTGTGATGCTCACCTGTTCCAGCCAGATACCTGCATCATGGGGCTGATCTGAGCTGAGGAGGAGGCTCCTATTGTTTTGTTTATCTTCATCATAATAATGACAACATTAGATGACAACAGGTGCTCACATAGGTTTGTGCTGATGAACATGTCTGAGCAGCTTGACCACGTTGTTGTGTCAGGGAGGAAACACGACAGCAGCCACAGAGTCGTGCTGGTTTGAGCGTGTCGCTGCTTGCTGAAGTTATATCAGCTCTGTCTGGACGTTAGTTTGAAAACTTTCTCTTTCAGTCGTGAACACATTACTGAGCGGTTAGAATCTCCGTTTCTGGGCTTCAACGTCAGAAAACAGCTGAGTGAACTCGGCGCTGAGAGGAGTGTAGTTTGTCCGAGACAGCGGAGCTGCAGACACCCAACTACCTCTGACTGCCTCGGCGCTGAAAAAACACAAAGGAGGGGGCGCATCTGCTCCGCGCTGGCGCCGCAAAGCATCATGGGAGTTGTAGTCTTTGCGGTAAAATTGGTCTGCTAATATAATGTCTCCAGGCAACAAGTTTTTTAAGAGGCCACTCTCTAATGTAATCTGCTTATCGCTGACTCTCCCTGCCCAGGTACAAGATATATATGTAACATAGCCTTGGGGCACAACTCCAATTAGAAATTTTACAGTATGATAGTGCTTATAATTTGACCGAGTTTGTGCTTGGGCTAATAAATTAGAGGGCCTCTCAATGAAAACTTCAAAACAATCAACTATCACAGCAACTTTATTTCCAAATGCCTCTCTGAATGACATTGGCATTGTTGCATGAAGTACATGTCGCTCTGACCACTCAATTTGAAATTCTAGTATTTCATAAAGTATGTCAATTAATTTATGCCAAATTCTGGAAGCACTGGACAGAGAAATCTTGAATCTGAAAGCTAAATCTTTCAGTGGGAGATTTAGTCTCAACCTAATTAAAACTAACATAAACTGTTCAAATTTAGACAGCACAGACATGGGGCCATAGGTGATGTAGGGCTCACACAGCTCAAAAATCTGCAATAAAACTAAAAAGTTGGGGAGTCCCTTGTAGAATTTAGTCTTGTCCTCATTTTTTTTTCAAATGAGTTCTGACAAAAATTTGTGTCCAGTTTTTTGGAGTGAAGATCTGCCAGCTCTGTTGTGTTCTGTCTCAGAACGTCCTCCATCTTCTCAATGTCCTTCATCGTAAGCTCTGTCTGGGTCCCGGCATCTGCGTAGCCTGCAATCGGAGAGCATAATTACTGAAGTCAAGTCAAGTAATTGTGTCTGTATCATTAAAAATAATGTATAAACAGTTGAGATAGGATAAAAAGATTGCAACTCTACCAAGCACTTGAGCCAAATGATTTGTAGAGCCATGGTAAATGTAAAAAAAAAATCTTATTTTTTAAAAATGTGTAATGACAATTTTACAAGATGTGTACACCTCCCTGTTTTAGATGTCCCTATTTTAAGCAGCACTTGATTCATTTCTATTATAATGGCTGGGAAAATCAGAAGCCGTGTTAATAACTGGTGCTAGGGCTGCTCGATTATGGCAAAAATAATAATCACGATTTTGGTGACTGAAATTGTGATCTCGATTATTTAGGACGATTTTTCAATTTATGTTGATTTTATTTGTTTTTATTCAGTCATAAAATTGTTCAGGGCGCAATCAGGACAAAAATAAATAAGAAACAAGATGATCACTAAAATAACTCCTGATTCCCAGTATAAAAAGACCAATATACTTATAGCTCATAGTTTATGACCCAAGGGCTATAGACCTTGGTTTAATTCATTTAAGTCTAACCAGTACAGACCCAAATACCAATATCTTGCAAATACTGACAGCAAGAATTATACAGTGGCATTCATAACAAATAAATGCAAATAAACTGATGTTCACAAAATGTTGCATAACATTTATTGAGTCGTGTCAAGGTGCTGTAGGAGAGTGCACAAGCACCGTGTCCTCAGAGAGATTAGTTATTATTTATCAGCGTGAGGAACTTATTTCTACCTTATTTATAATTTACAAGTCCATCAGTTAATGTAATAATTGTCCCAACCACAGCTGCACCCCCCACCCCCCAACCTGGTCTCACAGCAATCAGGGGCAAGCTGCACTGTTTAGCGCGCCGCACACGCACATTTAGCCGTTTTTAGTGGCTCAGAAGTCCGCAGGTGCGGTGTGCGTGTCACTCACTCTGGTTAATCCAACAGGGAGCCGGCTCTGAGAGCTGTTTCTTTAGCGACTGACACATCACTACATCATTCCCTTTCCTAATGTCCTGAAGAACGGTCCGGAGCGCAGGCGGAGTGTTTAGCTAACCTGCAGGAAATGTCAACGACAGTTATCCAGAAAGTAGCTAAGGGTTACCAGAGATGTTTCTCAGGTGTTCGCTAGGTACTTTTAAGATTTAAAAAATCAAGAAGGCCTGAAAAGCTGTTGGAAATAGCGTCAAAGTCGCCAAGTTGGCAACACTGGGAGCGCTTCATTTGCAGCTCAGGGCAGCACAAGTGGGAGGAGCAAATTATCGGCTTGTTTTGTTTGTATAATCATTCAAAACTCAGTCGTAATTGTGATTAAAATTCGATTAATTGAGCAGCCCTAACTGGTGCATCGTTTTAGTTATGTGCTAGAAAGCAACTTTAACCTAAAGAACTGTAAGCTAAAATGTGTATAAGCATTAAGTTAAGACATTACTGTTTTGATAAGATTATTGGAAGAAATCAGTATTTGCATCTAGATTTAGGGTATGCCGGACATCATTTACTGAACATCTTAGGTGTGTTCTTGCTGTGTCTTTGTAAATCCATGCTTTCGTTCTTTTTTAAACACAGAAACAGTTTTGTTTACCTGTTTCATTTCATGCCGTGGTTGAGAATGTTTTAGTCTGAAAGTCATTAAAAAATCTGCACCAGTACCAGAGTGGATATTCTGACAAATTATCTCTGTGTTGGGGACAAAACGCCGCTGTGAAAACCATGTGTCCTGTCCATAAAGACACACCTAATGGCCAGCAAATTTACTTACATTTTAGTTTCATTGATTGTTATCTGCAAAATACTTGTTGTGTCTCCAAAGATCTTTGAATTTGGTCATTTCAAAGCAGTATTTTATTTGACACTCCGACTCACTTCATATGGACTCACATTGGCTAAACAAACAAAGAAAAAACAGTGGAAAAAGAGTGGAAAACATAATACTGGCAAGTGTAGCTAAAGATAGAAGAAAAAAGTTACTGCCGGGATCAGGAGGCGCGCCTGCGCTAAACTATATGCCAGCCTGTCACTCTAACCGCTGGTCCACTGAGTCTGTTACAAAACATGTCGTCTAACACATATCCTGAGCTGGCCATTACATGCATCTTTGTAGACAGGACGAATGGAACGAGACCAGAACAGGTTCAGGGGGAGAAGAAATGCCAGATGACGCAAATGGGTTACATTCTGCTGCATGTAGGAAAAATCGTAACATCAGTCAAATGCAGCCGAGACAGGAAAATGCATGAATGAAGTCAAAAAAGGGTTTAGGGGTATTTATCATGAGGAAATGACAATAGAAGATGGTGAAAAGCTCCAAAAAGTGGATTTTCCATAATATGGCCCCTTTAATAAAGCTGGTATGATTTGAAATGACCTTTGGAGACTGTGTGTAGCTCATCTTGCTGCAGTGGAGGCGGCGATGAACGCGCAGGGAAGGACGTCGTGCATAAGACTTGCCACAGTTCTCACAGGTGTAAGGCTTCTCTCCGGTGTGCAGGACCATGTGCTCCTGCAGGTCCCGCCTCAGACAGTAGGTTTTCTCACAGTTGGGACAGGAAAATGGACGCTCACCGCGGTGACTCATCTGGAAGCAAATCCTCTATTATTTTAAGTAATATGGATCAGCCCCACTGCTGTGAGTGTTGATTCTTCTTTGGTTTCCTGCTGGGGCTTTTTAACAAGGGAGAGGTCAATCTTTTCAGTACACCAGTGCTCTGGTTCTGAGTCTGGTTTGTGTTAAAATCTTTCCTTTCATTTCAGTAACAAGCAACACTGGCCTAGAGGGCTGTCAAATAAGATGATGGAAGATCTGAGTAATAAAATCCACATTTTCATCATCTTTTAAGAATCCTGACTATAAAGGACTTTTCACTCAGGATTTCTCACATGGAAATCCACGTTATAGATCTTTTTAATGTTGAAAATCTAATGACGTTTGACCAGAAATTATTAAAATAAAAGAAGTTAAAAATGACATTTAAAACAATAATGAATCACATAATATTAAAATAAATCTGGCAATTATCTGTAACTGAAGTGGAAATGTGTCGTCTTCTACAATGCCAGAACTATTTCTAAGGTTCTCTAGGGAGGTTTAGGCCTTGATACTGGGAGCGACCTGGGAGGGGGAATTGGAATTAAGATTCCAAGTAGGTAAGGTGTTTGGGAAAATGCTAAATCCGTAATCTGTCAATAATCTGGGGCATCACAACCTAACCCTTACATAAGAGTGAATTTATCATCAGACCATTTCTAAAAGTTTAAACCGGTCTCTTCACGTTGCGTCTAAAGAACTGATACCTTTACAAAGATAATGGGCAGTTTTTCTCCTGTCTCCTTTATTAACTGTGCTAATCACAGGAATCTGGTTAACGTTCTGACATTTTGGGCCTCATCATACTTTCTGGTAAGTGCAGATTATTAATGGAGCATCTAGTCTAGCATGACAGAAAACCTGATGTCTTATTTATGTCTACACTATAGCATGAGGATATCACCTGAGCAGCGGCTTGTCTGATTTCTGACTACTGAACTCTGCTCTTTGTTCATTTGTTTCATGCTTCTCCTTTATGTTGTTCTTTGAAAATAGCAAATAAAAATATTTTTAAACTCTTGGGGAAAGAAAAGAAATGACATCTCTGAGATTTTACAGCGTTCCAGTTAATACATCAGCCTTCAGCTTGATCTCGTAACATCTCTGTGTCATCACTTCAAAGACATTACCTGAGCCACTGAAAAAATACAAAAGTTTGGAAGCTGGGGCTTTTTTTTTTTTGTGATTAAATCAATTTTCCAAACCCATATGGGGCCCAAGTTGTTTGACATGACTCTGACCAGAACATCCATGTTAAAGTTAAATGAGAGGAGAGAAAATCAATATAAAAATACATGTTTTACTAATCCACAGAACCACCACTCCCTGTACCTGATGGGCTTTGAAGCTTTCTGCTGAGGTGTAGTGTTTCCCACAGGCCTGGCAGGTGAATGGTTTCTCATGAGTGTGGCTAAACTGATGTTTCTTCAAGTGACCAATCTGGAAGAACTTTTTACCACAGCTGGAACAGCTGTACCGCCTCTCTCGGACCTCCGGTTGCAACTCAGAGACCTTCTCAGCAGGACAAGCTGTGACAACGGACTCAGGGTGTGATGGAGAGACATCTAGGCCTTCAGCTGAGTCTTTGCTCTGCTCTTCATTCTGTTTGGGTGAGTCAGATCCAGCAGGGGGGTGTCGAGTTCTGCTGGACAGACTGTGAACTCGTCGGGGTTTAGCATCTAGACGAGAGCTGCAGCGGACAGAAAGAGATGCGGGGAGTGAGTCGTCTGTGTCTTTGTCTGAAGGGACAGCGTTTGAGTGTCCAACATCTGCTGTGTCTGAAGGAATGTCTTGCTGGATGTCACACTCAGGACTCTGGTTGGATTGGATGATTTTAATTCTCCTCTTCCTCCCAAGTGTGATTGGGTGGCTCCTCCTCAAGCAGCTGTGTTCCTCCTCCTCATCCTGACTTTTCAACTCTTTCTTCTTTGGTCCTTCTTTTGTCTTTTTGGTTATTACAGCCTCGGCCTCTTTAATTTCATCCATGCTTTCCGCTGTCCAATAAAAACATAAAAACTCTCTAGGTTATGATGAAATAAAACACATATTTCCACCTCCTAAAATGCAAAATGTTTTTTTAAATGCATTTCTTGTGTGTAGGATTTGGAAATCGCCTCTTTACCTTCCTGATCATGAATTTGGTGTGCCACAGGGTTCTATCCTTGGTCCTTAGTCATGTCTTTGTAACCAGAAATTAAACGGTCTTTTTTAGTCAACCTCACCTCCAGCGGCCTGAGCTCCATCCATTCATAACGTAACCTACAATGCATCACTGGCCACAATGACACAACGAATGAGAAGAAAGTGTCCTTGGAAACAGAACTGGCACTACGCCCTCTCCGATAAAACGGCAGCTTTCCTTATTTGTTTTTTCTCTTCTTTTAAACATTTTTGTAATAATTTATTTTTTATCATTTTATACTTTTATTTTTTGGGTACATTCATTTTTTTGTTTTTGTGAAGCACCTCGTGATTTTTATCTTGAGAGGCGCTATATAAAAGATTGTTTTCTTTCTATGTGAGAATGTTCAAAAATAGTCATTTTGGCAAAAATGAATAAAAGAAAATACTATATTGTGATACAGATTTAGGCCACATGGCCTATTCCTACCCAAATGAAAAATAAACCCAGCTTTAATCATTTCATGAGAAAATAACAATACCACAAGGTAAAAAGCTCCAAAAAGTGGATTTTCAATGATATGGCCACTCTAAATTGTTTAATCAGAATAAGAATAAAATAATTATTTAATGATTAAGCTCACACTAAGTTATTTTGGTCACATTTACTTATTTTTAGGTGGTGGTAACGTAATGGGGTGTGCAAAAGCACAATGGCCCCAAGCCCATGAAACACGACTGGATAACACAGGCTGACTTAAGCTTCCGGAATGGCCATAAACTTTAGAAAGTTTGGAAACTTTGCTAAAAAGACATGTTTGTGCCAAGAAACCACAAGTTAAATTAACGCTACTGATTCTGCCAAGAAGAGCGGTCAAATAGCCGCCAGAGTAATTAAAAATATTTAACTTTTGATTTTGGTTTCTTTGAATTTTGTCATACACTCCCCACAACATTAACAGGCCGCAACATGTGAGTAAACATTGACTACACTTGTATGTCCATGCTTTAGTGCTTTTATTAATGGCCATTTGTAATAAAACAGTCCACCTGATGTTAGGATTCTATTCCCTGATAATTTGGCTCTTATCAAATCAAATCTTGAAACATTTTTCATTGTTATTTAGGCAAAGTGCTAGTGAATATTCCTATTACAGCCCACGCTGTTTCTTCCTTTAATGTGATTTGATCAGGGTTTGATGAAGGTCTCTGTATTTGCGTAATCTTGCCATTGTACTTAAATATAGAACTCATTGAGATGATTTGAGGCTACAAAAAATAATATTTGAATTTACTTAAATTGAAAACCAGTTATTAAATAAATGTGAGGCTTGAGCCAGATTAATATCCAACACACACAATAAATGAAGGAGGTTCATTCTGTATTCACTTTATCATTCTTTATTTAATTGGCCTTGTTTCCTCATTACCCCATCAGGTTGGTTTGTTTCACTTCTGGTTCATAACATACGCACACGTCCCTTTATACTTTAGTTGTTTTTTCCAGATTAACAATTTGAGCATTCTCAGTTTCATATCTTCTTTTGGTTCTTCTGTCTTTTCTTTTGATCCATTTCAAGGTCTCTTTTATCACACGGTCATTATACGTTCTAGCCAAAATACGGCTTTTCTTTTGTCCCTTTAAATAAAACAATAACAATGTCACTTCCCTGCAGGGATCAAGCGCCTATCTTATTTTCTTTAATTTAGTGTTTATAATTGTTTTTGAGATGCATTTAAGATTTATAGGCTCAATCTGTTTGAATCAGTACACTAAAAGAGCAGGAGTTTAATAAGATATCCACAGTCTGTAGCTTCTGGGTATTTTCTGCATGCGTTCCATCCCTCACCGCACATAAAGCTCCACCAAGTAGGAACAACAAAGGTCTGGATGAGCTGGGCTGTAATTCCTACTTAACCACTGTGCTACAATGATTTTATGCTCTTGCTTGGTTTTTCATTTACTTGATGAAGAAACTGTTTCTCCTCAGAGTCTTCTCCATCTTTTCCATCTTGGTTTAGTTTTATTTTCTGCTGACTGGAGTTTTTGCTCACAAAGCTTCAAACAAGTGATTTTAAAATATGCTGATGTGGAAATGTATTTTATCAAACAGATCAGTGACTCATCTGCTCTGAACATTGTTCAATAACTCTTTATCTTCCTTAAGTAAGACTCTAATTACAACCTTTGTGGTAAACAAGAGTTTTTCAGGGTTCCAGGGGTGACAGTGAGGTAAATGTCCCTCTAGCTCCTCCACATGGACAGCAGGAAACAACATGAAATGGACTGAAGCAATCTAACTGTCTACTTGGCTGTAAATGTTTATATTAACACCTTCTGATGTTGATGTGATTAAACGTTTTTAGCACAGTTTGAGTCTTTTCATCAGTGAGAATGAGAATCACACAGGAACATACCCAAATAGACATTTTTATTTAATTTATATGAAACAAAAATGTAAACAGTTTTAAAACAATTGAACAAAAAAAGATTAGGCATTATACAAAGTATTTGTTGCAATTAACCCCATTTCTAGTTACACAGTAAAACAAACCAAAAATCCTCACTGACGTTTACTAAAAGCAGACTTTTAAGAATCATTTATACGACTTGACTAAAGAAAGAGTGACCACAATCAACTAAAAGTTATTTTTAAGACCAGCCAACCCATGGGTACTCAATTCTGGGCCTCGAGGGCCCGTATCCAGCACGTTTTAGGTTTCTCTAGTCCAACACACTAGATTCAGTGGTTGAATCGCCTGTGCAGCAGTTCGTCAGGCTCTGTGGAAGCCTGTTAATTACCTGCTGATTGAAATCAGGTGTGTTGAAGCAGAGTTAAAATCAAAACGTGCTGGATACTGGCCCTCGAGGCCCTCACCCTTAAATCCAAAGACTCTGACGCTTTAAGTGAACATATGAGAATCTTTTTATGTCTAATGATTTCGTGTGCCTTTTCTAGCCTGGCAAGCCATCAAAAAGTTTGCTTCTGCTACTGTCCGTCTAGATTTCAAGGCTAGGCCTTTCCAACACAGCAATTCTGGTCTGTGTTGTAAATGTTTAGACACCTCTGACCATATGACGCTACAAAGTGCTATGCATTTGATAAAGAACAGGGGTCTCATTTACAGTGTGGGGAACGTTACTTTAAAAACGTAATAAGTTACTGATTACTTTGTCAAAATGTAACTCAGTTACTTACGGAGTTACAAGATTATAAAAGTAACTCATTACCAAAAAAAATAACTATTTCATTACTTTTTTCATTAAAGAATGCAAGAAAAATGGGTTCCCCTCTTAACTAAACTTAATTAATTTACTATAAATGACTACAATACTGAAATATAAATGACTAATGACTGGAACATAATAAAATGTATTTCCAAATGGTTTTTATAAAACTGAATTATTGAAATTAATTTGTTAAAAGGTCACTGTGTGATATTTAACAAGACCCCAATCCGCTAAAATTTATAACTGCAAATAGAAACACCTGTAAGGTTCCCAAGCCTTTAAATGGTCTCTCAGTCTACTTAAATTACTAAAATAAATGTAATTTTGAACAGTATTCTAAGTTTTCTAGCTTCACATAATTGTGTGTTTTTAGTAGCATTTCTGTTGCTGGCAATCTAATAATGGCTAAATAAATAAAAGTCCTATAAAATGACACTAGAAGAAGCACAAATCTGATGGAGGACCCAAACACAGAAGAGCTGAAGCTGGGTGGTAATGACACACAGGTAGTTCTAATAACACCTGAGCGCCCATGACGTCTGAGACTGATGTAACCAGTGTTACAGCGGGACGAAAGAAATGAGCAGAAACAGGTTATAGTAGGATGATGTTGGATGATCTAGGATGGTAGAAGATTGTGACGTCTGAGCGGTGAACGGGTGAGCGGACCTTCAGAATGTCTCGCTGTCACGCCAAGAAGATCAAAGCTGCAGGTCCACGCGTGCAGCAGCGAATCTGCGGGCCGTGATGCACTTGGATGAAAACATTCGCCTCTTTAGCTCCCTATCAGCTGATGATGGCTTCAACACACCACGCAGCTGAATTAGTAACGCACACATTTTCTTATCAGCAACAGAAACGGCGTTATGATAAAAGCAGACGGTAACTAATTAGATTATTCATTACTAAAAATATATATATTTTTTAGTTTGTGTGCAACTTTGGACCTGGTGTAAACAGGGCCAGATTAACACTTTGTTGTACCCTGGGCAACAATATTCAAGGGCCCCATCATCATGACCCGAGGATCACCATAATGTGCTCACATAAAGAATATATTACTGTAATATGCAGTAAATATACTCATTACTTGAATGCATGACATCACGTAACCCGGCCAGAGTTACCTTTGACCCACCTCGTGTGGACTGACCAATGAGGAGAGGGTCTTAACTTGAGGCCCTCTCTTCATTGGTCAGTCTGCATGAGACTGACTCTCAACTGATGTTCAAAGTCATAGGCAGCGAAGCGTCTCTGTGCAGCGCAAAAGCCCGGGTGGACAGTTTGTTTAATATAGAGTGACCATATTTCCATTTCCAAACAAGAGGACAGGGGATCTGTGCCTATGACATCACACTATGGCAACGCCACACAAACCATGTTGGGACCCATTTTTTGTAAGAACTAAATTAATATCAGATTCTGCCAATAAAAGGGCTCTAAAACAATTCATATGTAGATATTTTGCATATTTATTGCAAAATCTCATTTTTCTGCATTTTATCTTGGCCCCCAAAATGTCTTGAAACGGCCCTGGGTGTGTGACTGAGTTTTGAAGGTGATCTGAATTGTGTCAGATGTATAAATATTACATGTGTATAACTTATTGTTTTATACAGGTAAAAACGTGCAGTGGAGATAAATCTACCTACATTTTACTTTTCAACACTTTGTTTTGTTTTCTTGTTTTTATTTAACTATTTTCCTGTCCTGTCTGTCTCTCATCTTCCTACATCGCCTCTAAACTCTCCAGAAAAACTGCTGCCTGGATTCTTACTTTTTCACCTCATCAGTTACTTTTGAGCAGATCAAAGATCTCCTGAACGCAAAGCGGAGTGCGCGTTTCGATGCTGCTTCAGTGAGGTGAAATCACCGCAACACAGGTGATGAGCTCCGCAGTGGCAGAGCGCTTCAAGCACAAATAAGACAGAAAGTAGAGAACATGTGCGGACATGAACGATCGTGTGCTAATTATAGTTTTTTGGTTGCGCCACTTTGAGAATGGACCGTGCGCTGGACGCGGCAGCCTGGAGCACTGCACAACAACGATCATCGCTCTGCCGCTCTCTGTGCTCTCTGCTCAAGAGTCCATGAATGATGTAATATCGGTAGACAACTTTTTTCCGGCTCCCCTGGATGTGTAGGATATCCAGCTCCCCCCATAATTCGATCCCTGCTCCTGGATGAAAAGCCGGACATTTTCATCAATACAAGAACCCCCAGTCCGGACGCCCGGGCAGAGAGTGAAAAGTGGACATGTCCGGGGAAAACAGGACGGTCACCCTAGTTTAATATAAAGCGGGAGGTTACAGATAGGCCTACAGTATTTTGCTCGTGCCCTTGATGCCTTGGGCCCTTTAGAGTTTGTGGGCCCTGGGCAATTGCCCAGTTGCCCATATGGTTAATTCGGCCTTGGGTGTAATCGATGGTGATTAGATGCCAAACAATACTTC